TAGAACTAAATGAAAATATGACACTAAATAGGACGCAATGGAGAAAAAGGATTCATGTAGCCGACCCCACGTAGTGGGTTAAGGCTTTATTGTTGTTGTTGTTGTTTTTTAATACATATTAAAATTAATATAAAAATATATAAATAAATATTATTATTGAATTATTTCGAGCCAAACAAGCCGAACACAAATTAAGAAATATTTATTTGTGCTCGGATCATGTAGCCGACCCCACGTAGTGGGTTAAGGCTTTATTGTTGTTGTTGTTGTTTTTTAATACATATTAAAATTAATATAAAAATATATAAATAAATATTATTATTGAATTATTTCGAGCCAAACAAGCCGAACACAAATTAAGAAATATTTATTTGTGCTCGGATCGTTTATAAATCGAGCCCAAAAATATTTGTATTATTAATTTATTATATTATTATTGCATTATTTAGGTCATATTTAATTAGTTTTTATATTTATTTTGTCATACGGTTCAACCTTAATTAATTTAATGAATCTTGAACATTTACTTCGTCTGGTTTGATGTTTGGTTTGGTTTTCTAAACCTTGATGCCAAATAATGCATGAACCTTTTCAATATTGACTTTTATGTTATCAGGGGTTAAGAGATATCCGAAAATTTTCCAAAAGAGGCTCTGAATATACATTTTAGAGGGTGGTTTAATCTTATGGTATACTTTTTAAGTGTTTGGAAAGTTTCTTAAGGTCATCAGAGTCTTCTCTAGCTTACTAACTCTTAACTTACTAGTACGGCAGAAAATATATCTAGCATTTTTCAGCCCAAAGAGCATTATATTGTAACAAAAAAAAAAACCTTCGCTAGTAATAAAAATAGTTTTTTCCAATCAGCATGGTCTATTTTGATTTGGTGATACCCAGATAATGTGTCAAAGAAACTCAGAACCGAGTGGCTAACTACAAAGTCCACAATAGCATCTATCCTCGGTAGCGGATAACTATCCTTCAGGCAGGTTGAATTTAAGTTGGTGAATTCCACACATACCTCTACTTGTCATTTGCCTTCTAGACCATCACTGTATTAGAAACATAGGTGGGATATTGCACCTCCTAGATATAACCGGCCTCCCTCTACTTCTACACCACCTCATGAATTGGTCATGCTAGCATCGTGGTTGGAAGTCATGATATTCTAGTTTATTGGCTGAACAGATGAGCTGACAATGGTATGTCGCATTGATCAAAACTCCCACATTTTTGTTGCTAAGTAAGAGAAAACATCTTGGTGCTTCTTGAGAATCTAGATCAACAAGTCTATATGCCTTGCATCAAAAGCCATGCTGATTAGAAACTATTTACCCAATTTCATGTCGACCACAGGGATCTACTAGGTAGCCTCACTGATCTCGAGACACTCCTCTCTCTGGTTCTGGATTTCTAGTAGGTCGTGTTCCATATTGTTGATAATAGATTGCTCTAAATCTCCTCAGATAATGATGATCTCTCTGTCACCTGGAAACTTTACTTCCATGTGGTAGTTAGATACAACAAACTTGAAGGAGTTTGAAAGGGGGTGGCTAAAGATGGTGTTGTAGGTTTGTGGAGAGTCCATTACTAAAAAGTTTTTCAATAGTTTATCACCTTCCCCACAATTAACCACCAGTCCTATCACTCCAAGTGCCTCCTTTTGCTTGTCAAAAAAATTGTACAATGGACTGACTGGTGCCACAAACTGAATGGTTGGCAAGCTCAGTTTATCAAACACAAAATTGATAAACCAATAATAGAACTCCCGGTATCGATTAGGATTCTTCCCACTTGATAGTTTTTTTATCATTGATGTAATAATGATAACATCGTTATAAGGGTTCCCCTCAAGGGCAAGTCGATGTTGGTAAAGAAGATGGGAGGATGGGCTTCCAGTTGGAGGCAAAAGTAGTTGTGCATTGTTCCATTGTTTGGTGCCTTTTCTGATTGGCCCATTGGGAAGATTCAAATCCTCCAAAAGTAATGGGTATTACCCAAGCTATATGGATGAAGTTTGTACATACTAGCTCTTCTAGGACTTACACTATCAAGGTTTTTCCTTGCTTATGAGTTATTGCTCCAGGAGCCATGAACTCCGTGAGTTTTTCTGCTTGGATCAACTCTTCAACTAGGCTCCTGAGGTCTATACATTACGTTGTGACTTGGTCATGGTCCCTGTGATATTTGTAATACTTTTTAATATGTTGAAAAAAGATCTGACCCTCATTAGTGCACTTTCTTAAGATATTCTTTATCCTAGATGGCATCCATTATCTCAGCCATCGACAGTCTCAAAGGAGTGGCTCAAGGATTCTTGTGAGTGTTTTGCTTTCATTCATAGTGTTGAGCAGGTTTCTCATAGTTTTGGTTCGGTCGTCGGTCATGGCTCCTTGTTTGACCTCCTTGATTACTATCCCAATCGGTTCTTGTATTGTCACGAGGTAGTCATTCGTCTTCGTACCGAGGATGGATGGGGAGACATGTGTTCTCCTTCGGCTTCCACCCACTATTCTGCAAGGGCCCACTTTTGGGCTAGTTGTAGTGGTTTGTGTCATTCTCTTCATCAGTAATATGTTTGTTATCCATCTCTAACAGTTCGACCAAGCTTTATGGTTCCACCAAGCCGAGGCCGTATCAAAATCTCTCTCCCCTTAGGCCTTGGGTTAAGACAACATGTGTCATTTCAGCTCACAGGTCCTTTTCCTCCAACATCTCCCTTTGGAACCGTGTGATCTACAAACACTTACTTTTTTCGTCCCTTGCTTAATTTTCCACAGGACTTGTGCACTCTTCTTAGCCGTTTGAGGATCCAAGATTGCGAGGTACATTCATTTCTCTTCTATTTTTTCTTCTTATTTAAATGTTATGAACCTATGTAGTCGTATAGGGGTTTAAAGAATAAAATATAAAACTAGATTATAGGTCATATAGTACAAAGATTGAGCATACCCGTTATCGACAAAATAACTGGTGTGAATTATTATGTTGTTAATGAATAATAATATGTATGCTAATAGACTAAAATTTTCTTCCTTTTGCCTCGAAGAACTACCTGTGAGCTTGGTGGTATAGCCAGGTTGTTATCAACTAGTTTTTTGCGAAAGTCCAACCAATTCGTGGCGGTTTAGAATAAGAATTTGACCTGTGTGAGCGTGCTCAACTAGAAAAACTAGCTGGAAAATTAATGTACAAACGTAGACTTTGATGCGATTTTCTTCTCCCATCTTTCTGGGCTTGAATCCAATTAGAAGGCTCTTATTTACAGTTTTTCCTTGATATTTTGGCTTTTTACATTAATCTTTTTTATATCAAAGATTTTTATATGTAAATTTGTGAAACTAAATTTTGCATATAACTTCCATTAACTTGAAAACAAATATTTTTTTTTGTATTTTAAATAAATATTTTCTTATAAGAGCTGCTTGAATCCTTCGAGCTACCAATGCACTCTTCCGAGGAGCGCGTCGTCTTTCTCCTACGGACCGCCTTGTCTATGCACCAGCTCAGGCAAAGCCAAGCCCTCCTCGTCAAATCCAACATCGCAGCTCGACTCCCTTCTCTCCTCTCCAAGCTCCTCTCCCTCTCGGCTCTCTCACCTTGGGGCAGCCTCGCCCATGCCCGATCTCTCTTCGATTCTTCTACTCTTCTACTCGAATCCACCTTCGCCCACAACGTAATGCTCCGAGCCTACTCTGCCTCCATTTTTCCCACCGAGACTCTCCTCATATACAACTCCATGTGCTGCTTCAGAATCGTTCCCATTGACAATTTCACCTTCCCCTTCGTTCTTAAGGCCCTTGGCCGCGCTGTCGTAGTAGTCGCTGATGGTCCTGCCTTAACATTTGCCCTAAAGGGCTCAGAAGTCCACTGCCGAGCGTTTCATCTTGGCTTCGACTCTGACATGTTTGTGCAGAATGCTTTGATTTGTATGTATTCCCGATGTGGCTGGATTGACCATGCACGATCGGTGTTTGATGAAATGGCTCTTAGGGATGCTATCTCGTGGAACACCATGTTTGTGGCGTATGATCGGATTGGAAACTTAGATTTAGCTAACGAGCTTCTCAAGAAAATGCCCGAGAAAAACGTCTCTTTGTGGAATAGCATTATAGCTAGATATGCTAGGTTAGGCAATGTTGAGGCTGCAAGGCGGGTTTTTGAGGAAATGGCGGTGAGGGATGCGGTGTCTTGGAATTCATTAATTGCAGGTTTTGTACGTGTGAAGGATTATAAGAGCGCATTGAGACTTTTCAGGAGTATGGTGACAGCAGAGGTAGTACCAACGCGGTTGACGATTGTTTCTGTACTTGGTGCTTGCGCAGAAACGGGTGCATTCGAGGTGGGGCGGGAAATCCATGGTTTCTTAATGGAAAATGAGATTGAAATTGAAGGTTTTGTAGGAAATGCTTTACTGGACATGTATGCCAAGTGTGGTAACTTGAAACTTGCTCGGGAGGTGTTTGACATGATGAATTTGAAACATGTGACTTGCTGGAATTCAATGATTGTTGCTTTGTCCATTCACGGTCACTCTGAAGAGGCTTTGGATTTGTTTGCTTCTCTTGAAGAGGCCGCTATTAAGCCAAACCGGATAACTTTCCTTGGTGCTCTGCTTGCCTGTAGCCACAAGGGATTGGTGGAAGAAGGGAGGGCTTTGTTCCATAAAATGAAGAAGTATGACATACATCCTGACATAAAGCACTATGGTTGCATGGTTGACATTTTAAGTAGATGCGGTTTGCTTGAAGAAGCCTATCAGTTGATCAAAGAGATGCCATTCAGGGCTAATGCAGTCTTGTGGAAAACGGTAATAGCTGCTTGTAAGGTACACGGGAATGTTGATTTGGCAGAGAGAGCATTTGGAGAGATTGGTAAATTGGAAAAGCCAGATGATGCAGACTTTGTTCTGATGTCAAATATTTATGCAGAAGCAGGTAGATGGCAGGGTGTCGAGCATTTAAGAACTGGGATGATAGGCTGCAACATTTCAAAGGAGCCTGGCTATGCTCTAGTTGAGTTAAATGGATGACTTATGGCTTTTTAATGTTTATCCTTTTTAAACTTTTGGTGAAGAATGATGCGGTTGATTTGCACAAAAACAATTCTAGTTATAATTTATGCTATAGAGTTATCAATTCGTGCTATCTACATAAATTGAAGAAAAGAAATTTTCTCCATTGATTTCTGAAGGCTCGAATGTAATGTGGTCACCAAACTTGAGTCTGTTGATGAGAAAATCTGCCAGACCCAGCGCTACATGAAGGCACCTTCCATTTACTTGTGATTTCCTCATTTCGTGATTCACATTTCTGGGCACGTAGGTTTGGTTATGCCTTTGAGAAGCAGCCCTCTAGATAATATGCCGCAACGATGGATTTTAATACAATAAACCTAATGCTTTGGAGTTTGCAACCCTATGAAGGTGATACATTTTGTTCAAATATTGACAAACTTGATGGTTCTAATATTCAGTCGCTCAGTCATTTTTTTTCTTTGGAAAATTTACATGCATAATGAAGTATTTTATTGTACTGAAAATGTGATTATAAATATGTTATTTTAATCTGCTTTTATGTTAGTTTTACGATTTTAGAAGGTGTTTGCTATTTATTTTGCAGGATTCATGGTAGAAGATTCATCAGTCCTGAAGAGCCAAAGAAATGATTTAAGTATAAAAGTGGCGCCTAGGCCTCAGGGTGAAGTGCCTAGGCGCCTGAGGAGCTCAAATTTGGTCCCAAATAGAGAAAATGCGAAATGTTGGCGCCGCGACCTAAGCGCCTTGTCACTAGATACGGGCGCCTAAATGCCCAAAGCCTTACAACTAGAACCAGAGCAGGTAGAAAGTAGGCACTAGACTGTCAGCACTCAAGCGCTAGGAACAAGGGCTAAGGTGCCACATACCAACGCTTAGGCACCAATTCATGTGTTTAAGCAGTTCATAGGCGTCGATTTGTGATCCAAGTCATAAAAGGCTTTGCTGAAGATAAAATGAGGCATTTGGACACGCATAAGGGAAAGACAAAGGTTTTCATTCCAAATGTGAGAGAGTGAAGTGGGGAGTGATTGTGAGATTTTCTAGTGTGTAATCGTGCTTGTAGTCTCACCATTTTATTTGGAGTAAGAAGAGACAAGTTTGCAAAATTCTTGGTGTATTCCATCTAGTTTTGTCCTTTAAACTCTTGTTTTTGATGTCCCTTATAAATGAAATGATTGTGATATTGTTTTCAAGCATGATTCATGAGTAGAATTGTATTTCTCTTGTGAATTGACGACGTAGGAATCGTTAGTTTCTTTTTTTTGTGTGGTTTTTCCGAATTTCTTATAAGGTAGTATTTTAACCTTCAATTTTTTTGTTTACATTCAACTAACCGGTTGGATAGTTATAATATGTTGTGATCTTTGAGTTTTGGAAAACTCCTTAGTGAAAAAGCTAGGTTAAATTGCATTAAATTAGGAGAATATGAATATTTTCTCTAGATTGGTGCAATCCTTTAGGGAAATACTGAATCCTGAGTTAATCACTTGATTTAAGAAAATAAACATGTTTGATTGTCAAACCTTCTTAGACACGCGGGAGGTGATAAGAAGAAGATTTGCTCCTGATTTTCACCACAGTTCGAATGACCTAATTTAAGTTAGATTCATGTAGAACCAATTCATGAGAGTTTTACTAGCATCATCAAAGTTCACTGAAATTCTCACCTTGTTAACTTAAGTTTCACTATTTCTAAAATTAGGATTATTGATGTTTTAAAATCACAGAACTTCGTACATTCATACTAGAATTAAAACCAATAGGTTAGAAATTTTCACTTTGGGAGTTTGCTCATTTCTCGTGGGATCGATACAAGGAGTTTTTTTCCATTTAATGCTTGAGTGATAGGTTTACTTGCGTGATTTGCCGGTGCTTCTTAGCATTTTGATCCATATCACATTCCACACAATTCTTATGCATTTACATATCTAACACATATTTACTTTTATAGCACCTTGGTATTAAAAGTCCATGTATCAAAATATGTATTTCATTTTTAAAAAGTTAGTTACAGTGTTATTTTGTATTAGATGTTAAAGAATTGAGTGTTATATATGAAAATATGAATGTATAGGTGTTAGATATGTACATATATATATGAATTGTGTTGTATGTATGTGAATTCCTCAATTCTTTTGGCTTCAAACCATATTCCAATAAAAATAATAGAAGAGGATACCTGGGTTGACATTTCAGTTTTCACTGTTGAGTATCCTGGCCTTCATCATAAAAAACACGAAATGTTGTTAACTTGTGCTATTTTAAGCATCATCATCAGTAGCCTCATCTTATTAACATGGATTCAGCTTTTGGAATGCAGTTTTTCACTAAGTGTTGATAAGAAGGTCCAAATCGGCTAGCCCTTAATTCAGGCTCATTATCAAAATCATCAGTCATAATCATTTCCATTTTCAGGAATGGGGGGAATGGGTTTTTTCACTCATTGCTGTTCATTAGAAACATGTTTGTTGCATCTATCTTTTTGGGATTATTCTTAGATAAGTGTGGCAAATATAAGGTTGCAAATCTTAGATTATTGAATAAAATGAGTTCAGGCTTAAACTTTGGTCCTTTGAGATACTTTGAGATGAACATGGTATGATACAGTGCTTTGAAATTCTGCTCTTTCCCGGTCTTTCAAAGTGTTTTTAACTTCATGTCTTATTGATTGGTGGAGTTCTCATTCTAGGATGTTTCTGTTTGAGATTGAAAATTTAATTGCTTTGAATGATGATTTAATGTTCTGGATCATATTTTGAAATATGGCCTTTGTCTTGATTGTTACCTTTCATAAATAAATATTTTAATGACCAGAACAGATGCAATTTGTATTGTTAATCTTCAGAAGCATAAAATACCATTTAATTTTATATTTGCAAAAAGAGTGTCGTTAAAATGACTTTATGAGTGTAGTCGAGTGATGCATTTGAAGTTTGCCTTGCTTGTGAATCGCTAGCTAGCAACAAAGATGGCCTATCACATTCTTTGCCGCATCACATTATAGTCGTGTGCGCTTGGCTCTTATAGAGTGAAATCTTAGTTTATATTTTATAATTTGGTTGAACATTTTTCGTATAATTGGGCGTGATTGATTGCTTCTCCTCATTGTTTCTCTTAGTCATGGAGCTATTGGTCATTGATTCTTCACTCTCTCTTGTTGGGGTTAGTTGCTAGTTCTTATAGGCTTTTCACTAGTTTTTGTTGCTCGAGATAATAAGACCGATGCAGATGAACTTAGTTTTCCATAGGCTATGTATGCCTCGGCTCAATAAGTGGTCATTTATGATCATTTCATCACCTAATCAAACAAGTTTCAAAGCTTGTATTTATACTTTTTTTAAATCTACATACTTTAAAGGCTTATTATTCGATTCATTTATGATTATTAATAATATCCTTTAAAGCTGTTGATGAGTCTCCTCAAAAACCTTTATTAAAGCTTCATGAAATCTCAATATAAAGCTTGATCAAGAAATGTTCATAATCATTTCAATTCTATCTTTTATTTGGACATTTACCATCATATCGTTTTGATGTTTTCAAGTAATGTTGTTTACAAGTTATTCAGGATTGTTGACTTACCGAGATAGTAACCCATGTGGACTTGTAGAAAGCTATTAGATATCACGTGTAGAAAATAAATAATAATGAACTATTAAATCTTATAAATATGATTAAATTAATTTTTTTCTCCTCAATAGGATTAGCCCATTAAGGCTCAATTGACCTAACTCGATAAGACTCCCTATTGGTTTATATTTTCAAATAAGCTGCTCGTTTAAGTTTTGTTGATAAAAACGTGAGTTGAGCTAAAACAAAATTTGAAAAAAAATATGAATTTAAACATGCCAAACTTGAACACCTTCTTATAAACTTGGATCAAGCTTAAGCTAAGCTTGAACGTGGAAAATGTGCTTGAGCTTGAACAAAATTTGAATCTACTCGGTTCAATTCATTCGCAATTCTGAATTTATTGGAGAATGCATGTTAATGCCTCACCACTCTATTACTTTACAATGCCTTCAATTCTCAGTCTGTAGTTGACCACTTATGGTCTGTTTGGGGCAGTTGCTGCTTATTGAATAATTTGTTGATAAACTGATTAACAATAATCTACTGATAAGCTAGGTGTAATGATTATTACAAATTTTTATTTTTTAGGAAAAGTCAGACCGCTGTCAGAAAGTTCTCACTGCACCTAGATAGGTGCAGTGTGAAAACGCTGTTTTCGGCGTTTTGATAACGCATAAGCTGTCAAAACGCAGTTTACCCAAACATGTTAGATGTGTTTTCAAAACGCCACCGCACCAAACAAGCTGCCCCAAACGGACCCTTAGTCTCAATATTTTATTTTTTATTTTTAACTATTACATCATTTCATTATTTCAAATCATTTATATTTTTTATTTTTTTTGGCTTTTAAGTAATTGGGAATTACTATTAATATCCATTACATTTGCTAAATAATTATGTTTGTGTATGTGTGTGTATATGTGTGTGTGTGTGTCTATATATATATATATATTACACAACTCATGAACACTCTAAAAAATATATGTCATTGCAATTTACATTTTGCACATTGAAGGAAAAAGAAATTGTCGTATCTCATGGCGCGCTTCATCGTTTGAAACACTGCCGCAAAATGCCAATTAACTCTAAGGGTCTGTTTGGGGCAGCTGTAGATTATTTCTAAAATGTTCATTTGCAGATAATCCTGACAATCTGATAATCTGCAGATTGTCCTGATAAGTTGGCTAGTTATTTGGGGGAGCTTATTCAGAACAACTTATTTGCAGTTATTTTTTGATAAAGAATCATTCTGCCTGAGTTAAGTAATTTTGTTTGCAACAGAACTGTCTGGCAAAATACTTGATAAAACAAAGTCGCAAACCATTACAAATCAGTTTAAAAAAAATAAGATAAAGTCCTCACTTACGCATGAATATCAAAAAGTAATAAATAAAGAGAAAAAAATTACAACTACAATTAAAAATATTAAAGTATTTATTTTAAAACTCTGACGAGGTATGTCCTCGACTGCATTGTCCTCCTGGAAAGCCATCGTACCCAGATCACTATTGACAGTGGAATATGTTGGAATGTCGGCCGAACGAAAGAAACTGCACCGTGTTGAAACACCCCCAAAAAAATCTTGGAACTGTCTCCCATAGTTCTGAGGCTGACGTGACATGAGTAAGGGAGTATGTTGTTCGCAATAACACAACACAACTTGGGAGGTTTTTGAAATCCTAGAGCTCATGTTGCTACATAGATAAAAAATAAAGAAATCATTTGTTTGATTAGAAAATTAAAATAAGTTTTAAATATCTACAAGAGAAATGAATTAAACAAAAATCGTATCGAACAAAAAAACATAAATAAAAAATTGTGAGTGCTTGGTCTCAGACAGCTAACTGCACCAACTCACGAGTCTGTCAGTACAAAGAAACTGAGGACCTTGAAAAAAATGAATTCTTGGTTGTTTTTAACCCACGGGGGACGATCATCCTAGGATACATGTGCCTATAACAAAAAAAAAATCATCAAGTAGATCCTTATATACAAATGTAGTGAAAAGAAGAAAGGGCTTGGGATACCTTCTTTAGTGTTTCACACACAATACTAAAAAGAAACGATCTTCATGTGTTAGATGTGCATATTACCAAAAAAAGACCATCCACGTAAATCTTCATAATCCGATGTACTAAAAGAAAGAGAGGATATCGGTTTTCTTCATTAGAAATTTACATGCAACACTAAAAAAAACTAATAAACTGACCATTCAAAAGAACCCATAAGGTCATATTTTTCATAATTCATCATTGACCTCACAAACCCACAAAAAAAAACAAATAAAGAAAAACAAATCTCAAACATATTAGTATTATAAATTCAAAAGTATCAATGAAACAAACGAAATACATAATAAAATCATAACTTCCAAATTCACAATACAGCAAAATACATAAGAAATACATATATATATATATATATATATTATATATATATATAATCTGATAAAAAAATAAGATTGGGTCAATCAGCAGCTACAGATTGCATCTGCGATAGACTCCCTCAAAGTAGCCATCTCGATCGACCTTCC